GCTGGCCAGTCGCCGCCGCCGCTGCTCAGGTGATTCACGGGGAGGTGTTGCATACTGCCTGCATATGCTCGGCGGCGTGTCCATTTAGAAATGTGCTAGTTTCTAACGTTATGAGTACGAAAGATACAAAAAAGGACGATAGGTAAGATTCTTCTACCGACCTATACGTAGTACTTTTAATACCGGTAGTACTTCGAAGTACTTCGTACGTAGTTCAGTAGTTTGTGCGCACTTGACAAGGCGAAAGCGATTTTGAGCACCTCTTTCACTTGTTCACACGTTAGATTTCTTTTATGCAGCACGCTGCATGCGACTAAACAGAGGTTAGTTAGTGGAGCATTTTAAAGTTGGAGCCGATGCCATTCTCCACCCTCATGCACCAACTCGCTCGTCGGCCAGTACTTGGGTTCGAGCTTGAGTGTGCTGAGACGGTCCTTGCCACTGAGGTCCGTGTATTTGATGCGCACCGAGTCACTGCCTGATTTTGCAGTAACGACGCTCAAGAAATCGTCGATGCTTGTAATCTTGATACCGTCAATTTCCTTGATGCGACTAGTGGGCGGCGGGCCATACCGAGCAGCCGGGGATCCCGAGTACCGACAGGACACGTATATGCCATCCTCCAACGAGATGCTGCGTTGCGCAGACACAGAAAGCGGTGGCGCCTGTAGTAAGAGACCTTGCCAGAAAACGATGCGGTTAATCTCCGTGCGCTCCATGAAAAGGGTCTTCACGTCTAGTTGCATCTCGCGTCCATCCCGCACAATAGTGAGCTGCACCTCCGGCTTCTGCGTACAGCGCTCTACCTCGCGGAAACTCGTCACGATCTTGCCGTCCACAGCGACCAAGATATCGCCGTTCTTGAGCACATCTTGGGCCTCTGTGCCACCCCATCGTCGTGCAACACTCAAGATAGTTCGGCGATCCGGCGCGTCCTTCTCCAGAATCTCGGCTAGAGCTTGGCCGAGACCAAGCTCTCGAGCCTTAGCCAAACTTAAGTGTTCGAAGTCAACGCCCAGGTCGTAGATTTTGGGTGTCACTCCACGCATGAGAGGTGCTGCGCTTTCCATGATCAGATCCATCGGAATACCACGGTTAAATTGACTTTCCACTTTGGAGCTACGACGCTGCTGCTGGAATGAGAAAGAGGCCCAGAACGCACTCACTTCGCCCTCGTCGCTGCAAATAACGCCGCCTTCGGTGCCAACAACGTCCTGCAGAGAAACCATTTCGAGATTATGCTCCTGGTACCGCGGTGGGTTGGGCATGGGCAATCCAATCCACTTCACACCAGATACGATGGTCTCGCGAGACACAAGATCGGAATGGCCACTACGACCCACACTGCTCATGAGACCAACAAGCCACACAGGATCGGATGGCACCAGCGGTTTAGAAGCCACCTGACAGCTTTCAATGGGCGTGGACCCAATGAGCTTCGGATCGTACTGCACAATGGCGAAGTTATGCACCGGATGGACAAATACCACTTGAGCCGGAACCATGATGGTGCTGGCGAAAGTCACCATGGCATCGCCCATTGAGTCGGTCACTGTGTTGCGGTCTACAACCACTAGCCCTTTCGCCGCATCGATCACAAGCCCTGTGCCTCGGTAATTCGACGTCGATAAACTGTTCACGCTAAATGGTCTGTCGAAGTCCACCGTAACTAGCGACCGCGCAAGCTTGTTTTCCACTGGGTTCTTGCCCGGTAAGGTAGTCGTTGAACCGATCGGCTCCTCTTCGGCTGAGGTCTTGCTCTTTTCAGCATCATGTGCAGAACCGTCTTCGCTGGGAGGACTAAAGTGTTCGCAATGCCATGTTCCCAGCTTGTCGTCTCGTACATACTCGCAGAACGGGAACCACCTGCGGTCCACATGCACAACCTCGACTTTTTCAGACTTATCGGTCAACTTCGAAAACTTGACCACGATGCGATCGCGGTCCTTGCACTGCTTCAGATAGTTCTTGAGTGTCTCGAGATCAGGTGTCTTGGTGCCATTTACAGAGTGAATGATGGAGCCGCGACCAATACGAGAACGTTGAAGGAAATAGCCCGGGTCTGCAACGTACGGAGCTCCAGGGCTCATCGCGTGGTTTCGAGCTTGCTGGTACGACAACGGGTTGATGACAGCACCACCAATTTCGATGAAGCGCGACGGAGTAACGAAATGCAAGTCCTGTACCTGCACCTTGTGCGTTATCAGTTCCCCTGAGCGTTCGATTTGAATCTCAACCTACGGGAAAAACGCGGGGAATGAGTCAGCGTGGTAAAGCAACTTAGACAGAAATAAAATATCTACCTCCTCGCCAACATTGTCGTCGAGTATGGCCTCCAATGGCACAAACCGCGTGATCAATTCGCCGTTGACGCGTACCAGTACATCACCAGGCTGCAGTTTGTTGCTCGACGGGCCTCCGGGAATCGTTTCAGCTACTGTCAGCATTCCTGTCTCGAGTGGGAAGGAGGTGCGAACGAGCCCTTCTGTGGCGGGATTAACACCGAGCCGGCGCACCTCGTCGAAGGGTTTGTAGTGGAAAAGCGCTTGAATAGTACCGCGAGAGACCTCCCTACCTTCTCGAATTAAATCGAATGCTCGCTTAACTCGATCGAGGGGCAGATAAAAGGAAGCTGATGTGCCAATCTTGCCGCCGGCATTAAGAGCAATGGCGTCACCATCATGGTTGAGCACAGGGGAGCCGGATGAACCGCCGGTAGTTCCTGACGACGCCTGGTAGTAGAACGTGTTGAAGTCATTGTAGCTGTTGTACCCGTAGTTAGGTGCATCGCGATCCAGACGCGCCAGTGTACCGCTAGCAATTGCGAGCTTTTCAGCAGCATCATTACCCACGACGCGGATGTCCGTCCCAACGGTAGCCTTTTCCGGCTCCAAACGCAAAGAAGGCACCGACATGTGCTTAACATCCTGCTTATCAGGTGTAAGCTCACTTAGCAGAAAAACAAGAGGAAAGTGAGCAGACACAACGTACCGCCGGGTTGAACTGGAAAAAGCCAAAGTCGTGAACCGGATCTCGGTAAATCGGGATCACCCGCACTTCCTCATTATTCTGAAAACAGCCTCGGCATCCTGCACAAGCGCGCAAACCCCAAGAATTATCATAAAGTCAGCAACCTAAAGCAAAATCGCCATCCAAAACTTTTTTAACCACCGTACAATGGGTCCAGGTCCCACGACGTGGCGGTTCGTCAAAATGATTCCCTTTTCCGCGTCCACCACAAAACCCGTCGCGGATCCGTTGCCCGGCGACTCCGTGTCAAAAAACTACAAAAGCCAATCACGTAATCTCCCTGTCAATAATTGTTGACGTCACCTCGACAACGTTCTCCATCCTCCTACCTTGGGCGAGTTGAGCTTCAAGCTCACAATGGCCGGCACAACGCGCTCGAGCGTGGACTTCCAGTCCTGCTTGTTCTGGTTAGCCTCCGCTGCCACCAGCTCCGCGGCGAGGCGGTCACTCAGCTTGCGTTGACGCTCGATCTCCTGCTCGCGCTGCTGCTTCTCCTGTTCGCTCTGGCGCCCCGTCGACACAAACAGGTACGACCGCAACCACGCGGCGAGCGCCGCAGCCGCCATCTGCGCATTCTGCGTCGCTATATAACGCAAAATATCTCAATATCTTAAAGCCCTCGAATGTGAGATCAGGCCACGTACTTGGAGCTGATGAGGAGGAGGTGGAGAAGGGTCGCGTCAGTCCCAAGGGAAGCGTCTGCAGCGCTTGCGGACGCCGATACAGCTTCTGCGCACCCCCAGCAGCGGCCCGAGTCCGAGGCAGCGGCGCCAGTGAGCGCCGCGCCGCCGTCGCACCTGCCTTCCACATGGTCGACTAGGGGATGGCAAATCAAAGAGTGAATGTCGAGTTCAACTGGTCCTGGTCTTGGTACCCTTTATTTGACCCAATCTCTCATAAATGCCCAATTACTTTATCGAAGGCGATATTATTCGGCCCAGGACGACCATGTCGGCGACCATGCTCAAGAAGATGCTGCTGGACGCGGCGGCGGCGCTCAAGGCCGAACGCTTCCAGGAGGCACAGGATGCTGGTCGTCGAGTGACGCAGTTTGACCCTAACAACTTCCAGGCCTTCATGTGCGTAGGACTGGCTAGCTTCCAGCTGCAGGAGGTGCGTCGTCCCGCATTTGCCAGCGTATCAAATGCTGATATTACATTTGTCGTTGCTGAAGTGGGAAGACTGCGAGGAGGCGTATCGTCGCGCTGCAGATCTCAAGCCGGACATGCCTGCGCCGTGGAAGGTTTAGAGGACAGATTTAAAATTGTTATTGGTGGCAGGAACTGAGCTTACAATGGCTTGCAGTATCTTGTGGACCTGTTTGAGGCGAAGAAGGACGCCAAGAGCAAATTGGAGCCGCTTCAGAAACTTGTGGACCTAAATTTGAGGTGCTGCAACTAGGAGAGACGGGATGTGGGATCTTTTAGCTGATGTTTTGCGGTGCTCTGGCGGCTAACAGAGGCAAGAAGTTGAAGAAATGCCAGAAATGGGTCGTAGAGCTGGCAGCAACAGCAATGGAGTTGAAAATGCTCCCCAAGGTTTGTTGTTGCGCAGTTAGGCACTTACGAAATGCTTCCACAATGGTTTTTAACTCAATATTTCTGCTTTTTGATTGTCCGGAGCAGGCCTTCGACTCTTGGTACTCACTTGTGGGGGAGCAATCTGGAGATTCGGGTCAGCTCTCCTTGGAGAAGACCCCAAACGACGAACTACCAACTGCACTGACAATCTGGTTGGATTTGGTGGATCTGCTACAGGTAAGGTAGTATTTTGCCCAGCAAGGCAACGACCTATGCTGAAGTATGGTTGTGACGTGTGGTACAGCGTCCTGGCTTCAGTCTATCAGAATGCTCTGGCAGCTACTCCATGGCAGACATCTCGAGTCACTTCTTTACTGCTGCTTCTCGTACCGACTGGACAACCCAGAACAAAGAAATCGACGCACTTCGACCTCGAATGGACGTCGCGATTGCATTCTTCATGCGCTTCCACCTGGATTTCTTGAAAACTTCAAAAAAGAAGCCTGCTCTTCTGAAAACGCTGGATGCGTTGGCCATGTCGATCGTGGAGTGGTTTCCCGAATCCAAGATCCCAGCGGAATTCTTACTTCTCCGCTCTGAAGACCAGGACACTCGTAAGTTTTTAGTGTTGTTGCTTTCGTTGCTGCTATGGCACTAAGCACAACTGTAAATGCCAGCAATTGGGCTGGAAAAGGCCAAGAAGATTGCTGTTCGACTGTCTGCGAGTCACCCGAAGAGTCCTATGGCTCTTGTGTTCCGAGCGATCGAGTGTTTGCACGTGGGGGACAACAGCCAGGTGAGTGCTGAATACGCTTCACTGTCTGGTATTACGATGTTGACGATTGCAAGCGTTCTCTGTCTGAATCAGGCTCGAGAAAATTTTGTTGAAGCACTCGCAGGTTACTCCTCTTCATCCTTTCAAGAGTGCGCTCTTTGCATTCGCGTTCAAATCGAACTGGCGTCGATTGCGCTGGCTGCTCGCGACGTTGATGGCTGTCTGAATCGTTTAGCATTGGCAAGAAAGGTAGTGGCTGACAAGTCAACGATGCTTGGGTCAGAAGGCCCAACTCCTGCTCTGTAAGTTGTGCTACGTGCGCTGTATTAAACTTCGTTGCCTAACATGTATCTGCACGATACAGATATTCGGAAGTTAAGGTGCAATTCATGACAGCAACCGCACGTGAATATTCTGCTGATATAGATAAAGCTCTGGAGCACTACCGCAGGGTCATGGAAAACGACGATATTATCTTCACGGCTAGGGCAGCAGTTGCAGCAGCGGAGCTTTTGGCAGGAAAGACAAGAGCGGAGGAGGCCCTCGACATCATCGACTGTGTCTCGTCGTCTGACGTGGAGGATGAGCAAATGAGTGCTGTTGTACTCTGCACGCGCGGGTGGCTGCAGTTCCAGCTTGGTGATCTCCAGCAGGCTCAAGCATTGCTAGAGACAAATGCGAGCAAGATCTCCTCCTCTGATGCTTCTGCTAGAGGTCGAGCACTCAAGCGATTGGCAATTGTATACTGGCATCTTGGAGGCTCTCACCAAACTGCCAAGACGGGATGTTTTGGCCATCTACTGCAAGCAGCCAAGTTGACGCCATCTGACGCAGAGATCTTTTCCTGGTTGGGAAAATGGTACCTGGAAGTCGCAAAGGATGTTCTGCGTGCTGAAAAGTGCTTCTTGAAGGCGCTATCGCTGTCTCTCACCGACAAGCTAGCAGGTATGGCTCTGAGCGACCTGTACGATCAGCAGGGGAAGTACGAAACAAACGTCAAATTGTGGGAGCGTGTGACAGAGGATCAAGAGACTGCCCCCACCTGGGCACTTCTGCGACTGGCGCAGCATCTAGTAGAGAAAAACGACGAGACAGCAGTGGGGAAAATGCATCTGGTCCTGCGCAATGACCCTATGAATGCTCGTTACTGGGTTATTCTGGCGCATGTTTACCAAAACTTCGACAAGCAAGTGTCCGCGCAGAGATCATATCTGAAGGCTATTGAGCTGGGTGAAGAAAGTTGGTGCGTTCGCTGTGAGCTGGCTCGTATCGAAGGATTATTGCTGCTCTTTGATGATGCTCTGGAGCGTATCAACCCTGTTATTACCGGCGAGATGGCGGATAGTGAACCAGACGTTACGGTGGCTTCCATGGTTTACTCTGACTTGCTGTTCCAACAAGCTAAGTACTTGTGTGCCGAGGGGTTGTACGGCAATGCTGCTGCTAATCTGAAGGAGGCATCACGGATGATGAAGGGACTGCCGTCCACCTCTCCTCTTTCAGGGTCCGTGGAAGCGTGCAAGTTGATCGGTGATATTCATTGCTTTGCTTACTACTTGTCGCCGAACGATTTTTCAAGTGATGGGTCCAGCTGGGTAGAGTTTATCAGCGCGGGACGGAAGGCGTATGAGGCCGCCGTCCTACTTGCCGGCAAGAGCGTAAATGAGGCCCCTGGCGTTTCTGGCGCAATCGCTGCTGAAAGATACTACGATGTCGGTCTGAGTTACTGGTACGAAGCACAGGCTCTAAGCAGTGTGGGCAGTATTCCTAGTTCAGCTTTCTCAGGTGAGACAGGACTCGATGCAGACTCTTCTATCGTAGCACTGAAGGCGAAGGCGTCAATGAATTTCAAGCTGGCTCTTCAAGAGGGTCCTGCATGCTCGTTGGCCTGGAACGGGTTGGCTCTAGTGTCTGACAATCTGCTGGTGAAGCAATTTGCTTGGACACGATCCATTCAAACTGGCACTAGCAGCGACGCCACCTGGGCCAATCTGGGTATGTTCTACCTCACTCTGGCTGATACTGTGTCCTCAACGGCGTCCTTGGCACAAAAGTCGTTTCTCCAACTGCAGAGCATGAACCCAAGCAATCCGTCCATATGGAATGGGTATGCAATGTTGGCTCGACGACAAGCTAGCTCAACAGTTCAGCAGAAAAAAGCGATCGAAGCCTTCGACTGCGCGTTGGAGACCGGGTTGGATCTGGATGCTTTGCTTGGTTTGAGTATGGCATTACTTGATTTCGGAGTAAGTGTTGGTGAATCAGTCACTCAAGCCCCAGAGCACGGTAATGAGGTGGTGATGTTCTGTCTAAAAAAGTACCTGGAGCGGGATCCTTTCAACGGACGCGCTTGGCACGCCCTCGGTGTCGCTCAGCATCGACTTGGATTGTACACCGAGGCTTTGGCATCGTACACCCGCGCAGCTTCGTCAACGCAGGCTACTGATGGACTTGAATGGAACAGGTTGGTGACACAGCTTGGCGAGCTCTCCAGTACACCCCAGTGCACTACCACGGAAGAATTAGCACTCTTGCAGAAAATTGCCGCACAAATAGACTCATCGTCAAGTGAGACCTCAGCACTGCGGGTTATCGTGCAAGCGCAGCTACTATACCGCCAGTCGAAGGGAGGTGAGGCGTTGGATCAACTTCAGGCGCTGCTGGAGCAAGACGACTCCCAGTCCATCCAAAGTGAAGTGGTTGCTCTAGTGGGCCTCTCGATGGCGAGCTTGTCGATGGACGAGTTTACGCCTCAGGCCGCTGGTCTAGCTGAGGCATGTAAGAAACGTCTCCTTCTATCAATTGATGACGCGGAGTCACCTCTTACCACACGTGACTACCTGAACTTGCGTCTGGTTGAGCTTCATGAACGATGCGTGGGCGCCGAAGACGCCTATTTGACCCGCTTGCAGGCACTCTCACAAACTAGCGATGGCGCCAACTCTTGTACTCTGGGGATGCGACTGGCCCTTGCAACGATTGATTCTGAAAGCCTTCAGGTGTCAAGTTGCCTTACGGAATACTTGCGCTCAAGTGCCAGAAATGTGCCATCCTCTGGTAATGAGGCGATGGATCGCACCTTCCTCGACGCGCTCGTGGGTCTAGTAAAGGCTGGTCCAACCGATACGAACAGGTTGTGCGTGGATGCTCAAAAGCTGATCCGTGCTCAACCCTGGAACCCTCACGCTTACATTCTGGCTGGAACGAGCGTCCTGAAGCGCGTGAGTCTAAGGGAGAAGCAAGCATCACACGACCAAGTTCTTCGCCAACTGTTGCGCTTGTTGCAGCATGGATTGGCTCTTGCTGTTGGAAAAGATTATGACACAGCTCAACTAGAGTTGCTGATGAGCTATTGCCACGTTAAGCTTGGTGAGCAGGACGAGGCAATTGCATCCTCGGAAAAAGCGTTGAGCCGGGTGGAAGCAGGCAAGAAAAGTGGCGCCTTCGTGTCGTCAGTGGACATGGATTTGTTGAAAGCTCGTTTGCTCTCGATCTCAAGTCCAACGAAGGCTATCGATAAGTATTTGGGTGTGATTGCCACTGTCGCTGCGACGTCTTCGGGGCGATTGATTCCGATCCTCCTTGAGCTTGGCGGGCTGTACGAACAATACCACCATTTGGATGCTGCTATTAATCTGTGGAAGCTTGTGGCCTCGTTAACGGCGACCAAGTCTGTTAGTTGCACCGATGGCGATGACAACATGAGCAGTACTACAACTGCCTTGAGCAGCAACAGCGATACGGCGGCGTGTTTCTTGGCTAATTTGCGACTGGCGCTTATTCACGGCAGAAAAAACAACGTGAAGCCGGCTTGCAAGCACATTAAGGTCGCACTATCGCTCGCCCAAGCTGGAGCAGACTCGAGCTCATCAACTGTCGCTGCGTTCGTGGAGAACGTTCTCACGAACTAGAGTGAAGCCCACGGTTTACATGTAAATGCTGGCAGTGTTTCTATTCTAGCAAGCGGTAATTGATTCTACACGGTGGCGTCATGGGGGCCTAGTGCTTGAAGCATGAAGTACTCTTCGTTCGGTAGTATCAGCAGAGTGTAGTTGTTGCTGCCATTACCCAGATAGCCGTGTTCTCGTCGTTGAGGCTCGCCTTTCTCTTTCTTGCCTTTGCTTGTCTTAGACTGCACCCAAGACACGAAGACATCTGGGAAGCCCCATACCGTCACAGCAGCCCACGGCAATTCGGCATTTTTGACAGAACGCTGCACCTTCTCCACAATAGTCGAGCAAAACGGAGCTGCCAGCAGACCACGCCATCTGACCGTCGTGATCTCATCGCCTGGCACGCTCTCAAATGAATCAGGGATACCCGTGAACGTCGACACGTACTCTTCTAGCTTCTGTCTCTGCAGCAAGTCGGTCAACCCACACGCCACAACTCCCAACCAGTCGTAAGCCTCCTGCAGCGACGTCCGCAGTGTATTGCCATCCTCCGCACCGCGCTTTTCAACCGCAGCTATCTCTTTGTAAAATGCGTCGAATTTGGGAAGGAACACGTCGCTGAATGTCGTCATTTTGGCGTTTAGCTCCACGCGTGAACGAGGTATCTGATCATCATCTCCGAACAAGATTGTGCGTGCTGATCCACGCTGGTTGTACGCGCACAGCAGCATCTCAAGATCCTCCAATTTCGTGCTCAGACACTTTCTTACTCGATCTCTAAAGGTGTTGACTTCTTCACCAGCGAATGTAGACGACGTCAAGTCTAGGGTGATGACGTATTTCTGTGCTTGCTTCACGTGAGCCGATCTGCTGGTGGCAGGCACTGCCTTGCCATACTTTTCACCTACAATGCCCAATTGCTGGTAGGTATCTGCGTCCACTAACAGTAGCAACTGTCCGGACGGCAGCAGCATCGCCGACTGCGACGCGTCCACCGCTGTATTCTTGGCCACCATGAACACGGCGCCACCATCCATCAGATAGTCGCGAATAAAGGTCGGCGACAGAAACATGTCGACTGACGCCTTGATCTCGTAGTAAAAGCCCGTTTCCCATTGCAGCGATTGCGCGACCGCTTTCCCCTCCTTGGACGGGAGATACACTTCGAGCTGCTGGTTGAAAGCGTGTCCGTTGATGACGCTCTTGTGCCGAGACCCACCGTGCGAGAAGTTCGAGTGCCATACAAGTAGACGAGAAGAAGGGTGTGCAGTATCTAGACTACTTTGCAGCAGCGCACCGGAGCCCTGGAGCCTGGCCCGACGCTGCGCATCGTTTCGACGAGGCTTCTTGCCTCCACTCACCATGTTCAAGAATATTGAAAGCTACATGAATCGAAGTGACATAATGTGCGCCACATAAATGAAGATGTGCAACGTCGTCAATAAATTGTAGCAAGTTGCCAAGTGGTGCGGCTTGGGGAGTCCAGCAAACCCGCGGTGATTCAGCTGAAGCTGTGGATTCCACGCGGCTGGTTGGATGCATTTGAGGCACGGCAAAGTCCAGGTACAGTAGAAGGAGATGGAGGCTATTGGAATATGGTAGAGAAAAGCCCGCTGGTGCCGATGGTCTCTTTGAAAGAGCCTTTCGACCTTGCTCACCTCGACAAGTCCAGGTTCCCGACCGGTAGCTCCGATAACGGCTCCTGCGCTAAGCTGAGACTTGTGTTTATTCTTCTCAACATTTATATTATTGGTCTGTCGACGAAAACAGAAACGTTTTCAGCAATTAGTTCTTAAAACGAATATCCTGTTGAAACTAACTTGGATACGTCGTTTGGACATATTGAAGACACTTCACTCGCCAATTGCACAACGGCACCCGGTTAAGCATCGCGCCCATTCGTACGCCACAGTAGTCAGCAGCCACAACCACTCTGGTCAACGAGTCCAGAGAAAGAAAGCATAGGGCTGGCCATTTCTCCATCGCTTGGCATCTGTCCTTTGCTATTACTGCGCCAGTGTCCGACGGTTTTCTCCTTCCTGCCGGCGGTTCGTTCTTGGCCGGCACTCATTCCGCGTTGTTGGGCCACAAGTCCGGAGTGCTCCCACTCTCCCGCGTGGATTTTTTCATTCGTCCTCTTGATAAATGCAGCCGTGGTCGGGCGGCCGTCGTGAACGCTCGTCCAGCGTCGTGCTGCTGGGCAAGCTGTCGGCTATCGTGCGGCGTGGCAGTGTATTCCAGGCCGAGCCCGAGGACTTGCGGTGCAGCAACAGCAGCTACAGCAGCAACAACAGCGAGGAAAAGGAGAGCGATGACGACAGAGCGACACAGCGAAAAGACCGACACGCGCGGCGCCGCAGCGTCGGTGCGCCCACGATGCAGGCGAATATGACCATGTGGGACCCCAAAACTAACGGCCGCGGCACGAGTCAACGGCTCCAGTTTTATCCGGCACGGCCACTAGTAGCGGCTGCGTTGGCAAAGCCGTTGAGTCAGGGGGAACTGATGCGAAGAGCGACGCTCGAAGCGGAGATGAAGGATTTTGACACTATGCACGAAAGGTTCGCACCGTCGTCGACGCCTCAGAACGACCAGGAAGACAAGAAGGGCATCCAACAAGTGGGAGACATGGACAACAACGAACAGGAGAACATGGAAGAGGAGGAACGACGTTTTGCGCATCCTACTGAGGCTGGAAACGATGGTAAACGAAACGGCGGAGCGTTTGCAGAAGACGAAATGCTGAACTTTGACTCGATCCACATGCCGTCGAGCGTGCGCAGGTTGATGAGCCGCATTATGAGCGAGAGCCTTATGAGCGAGTCCGATGTGCCTGAAGATATGTCAAACCAAGATGATGGCGACGAGGACGATGACGACGAGGACTATGATGAAGAAGACGTAGATCACATCGACGACGTGGAGGAGCTTGAACTGGTCGAGAACAGCTCTGAGCTGGACGAGGAACGATCCAGCAGCGAGCAAGAGGAGACGATAGCTCAGACAGAGCAAGATTCGAGTCCAACCAAGCACCATTTCCTAGAGCGTCGACAAACTCGCCTGCTGAGCTGTGCAGCCGAACATGCAGCTTTGTCAGCACAGGACCAGCTTACATCAAGTGTGCGACGGCTGGTGATCCAGTTGAAAGACGACTCGGATCAGATGAGCAAACCACTGGCCCAATCTCATGGCTTACGTCTCAAATCGAGACCGGCTCCGACACGGAGGCGAGCTGGGTCATGTCCGACTGCTTATGATCTTGGCGTCCCGTCACCAGTCGATGGGTCTTCGATGCCGACGCCGCCTCCTTTTAGTCCCGCTCTGGCCCCGCAGGAGATACACCCTGGCAAGAAACACAAGAAAAGCGCGTTCTCAAGGATCGGCCCGCGTGTGCTGGAGACTCTTCATTTGCGCAAGAAGCGCAAGACGTACTTGTTCACAGACGAAGAGCTCGAGACGATTGAAGGAGCTCGATGGAAGATCGTCGAGTTGGCCTTCCGCTTCGGCGGCAAGCACCGGTCGTATCTGGTACAGGCGATCAATATGTTCTTCCCTCTTCTGAAATATGGACGACGTGGAGGTGCACATGCCACCAGACTGCATTGCAACTGCTGTGGTACGCTGCAGTGGCAACATAAGCGTGGTGGTCTCAGTGAAGCCGTAGATTTGGCTGAAGTGCTGCAAGTGCTGGACGGACGACAGACGGCTGTGTTTCGCAAGTACGCCTCCAACAGTGTGCTCGACGCCTGCTCGTTCTCAGTAGTATTTCGAGGACGGACGTTGGATCTAGAGACACAGAGCTCAAGCCATCGAGACTGGCTGGTCAGTGCACTACGTACACTCGTGGCCTATGCAAGGCGTCAGCGACGTATCGAGCAGCAAGCCATAGCAGAGCGAACAATACTGCCACTGGAAGACGATCTGGTACCTGATCTGGTGCCTCCCGTGTCTTCACCGGCACGCGCAGCTCCATTGTTGTCTCCATTCGCAGCTCGGACAGATCTACGGTTGGATGAAGCCTATGTGATTCCTCCCAATTATAAAATCCGGAACGTGTACTAGCTTAGTTTAGCTCGACAATCAAAAAGCTTAGTTTCTGTAAGATAAATGACAAGACAACAGTCAATAAAATAGTGAACACGATGTCTAGAAGCACTCACGCTAACACTTATAAAGCGGCGTCACGGAAGGCGACAGCGTCAACAGCTTTCTTGACTTCGTTCAGCTGTACAATCGCATCAACACGAGTAGGAATTGCTTCACGGGACAATCGCAAATATCGCTTCAGGATGCTGACCGATGCTAGAACTTCTTCTGGTCGCGGACAGGGCTCATCTGCAACGTCTTCGAAAGTTTCGTATGGCCCATTTGCATGGCTTTCATCGTCAAGTCGCTTGGTGGATAAGTATCCGTGCTTCTGGAGCACGCCACGGATGATCTGAACTTCGTCGATTCCTGGATCGGTCACAGAAGCGTTTCCTTCGAGATCTACGAATGCCTGAGCGTTCGCAGGCTCAGCCACGCCAATCCACCGAAAGAAGTCAGGAGCAAGTTGGGCGATACTAGTCAACTGCTGCTGCAGCTCTCGATATAGTAGAGTTGGACATGGCAAGACTCCATTAGCCAGCGATAACCCAGCTCCTTTAAATGAGCCAGTTGGAGACACGCCATACACTCCAATTGCATCGGAATGTACGCTGCCGTTGCCACTGTCGGTACCGCTGCTGGGAGAAGAGCTATTGGCACTGTTACTCAAAACGATACGCAAGTTGACCGACGCAATAGCTTGGGTCGGAAGCAACCCGCTCCGAACCCAGCAACTCTGGATCAACTGCTTGTCAATACTGTGGAGAGCCACGAAAAACCAGTGGAAAACGTTGCGAGTATGCAAGTGGCGCTGTGGATGGAAGCCGCGAGGGTCCTGACTCATCAAGCTCTGTCGATAATTATTGAATAGTGTCTCCACCATCTCAGTACGGAAACGCGCTTTGAATGCTTGGATCACTCCAAGGTGGCACGGGTGGAAACGCGGCGCCTTGAAATTAGGCGGCAAGAAGTAAATGTGGAGATGGTCGTACACGAAGAATGTGCGTTGGTCGCCCTGAGAATCCAAAATCATAGCAGCCTTAACGTGAGGCACAGCCGAGTCCAAAATCACTCGGAACGTGCGTTTACGCTCCTTAGCAAGTGCATTCAACGACTTGAGCATGCTGACGGTCGTCTGTGCCACCTGCCAGCCAGTCTTGGAGTATCCATACTGGATATTATAAGTCTCCTTGGTGTCGATACCTTCCAAAAGCAAAGGGCTTCGGTCCGTACCAATGACTTGCAGATCGTGCTTCTCTCCAGCAGCACTCACGAATAACGAGACTGTATACCTGCCAGTGTTGGCTCCAGCGCCACTCACCGACTCAGCCACTGGTGGTTTGTACATGACTGCAAACTCACTTCCCGTCCAGATATCCTCCAGATCCACACTACTAAACGCAAGATGCAGCTCTCGAAGTCTCGTCTGGATGTCCACGCTCTTAATAACACTCTGATCTCCTCCACCAGGGAGCTGTTTGCTGCTGAATGAGCCGAATCTGGTCCTGTATCCGTCCAGCCATCCATTAGAGCCTGTAAACTTCTGTAGTGCCTGCTTCACCTTGTCTGGCAACGCTGCATAAGGCTCTTGAACGATCTTACAGGCCAATTCCATGGCCTTATGCTGCAATACGGTGCCTGTGAGCTTAGTATCAGGGCTAGAAACCTTCACCTCCATTCTCCACTTGTGCAGACACTCATCCAGCACTCGCAGATCGTAAGTGCATTTGGTCGTCTTCCTCTTCTTCTTTGTAGCGTCAGCCGAGTCCGTCTCCGTGCGGATAAGGTCTTCCTGTCTGCAGATATTGGTGATCGTAGTGCGCCCCACACGAAACTTCTCAGCCAACTCGCGGTGCGTGAATTTCTTGCTTGCTGCGAGGTCGACCACCTCGCGTTTCTGACCGAGGGTCAGACGCATGCGGCGACCGAGAGGCAGTCCCGAAGTGCTAGATGCGGCAGGATGCACAACAATATCATTCTGCTGCGGCGGTTGAACTGGGGCTTCGGAAGCGAAAGTGGTTAAAGCGGAGACGTCAGGAGGCAGGAGTTGCTGCATCGGTTGTGTTGGTGCGCGTGGGTGCTTCCGCCCTGTGACACTCAATTCGTCGGCCATCAAGAAGTGCAGGAACCACAAAAGGGAGGTGTCGGTACTTTGTATTTTGACTTGGTTTTTCAAGGGAGGGGGAAGAACACCACACCAATCGTACACGAATGATGTTTGACACACGGTTTTGATAAACTCGACGTCAGTCCAACCAGCATGAGTGGCAAGCCCAGTGCGTCAGTGCAGGCTGCCTTTGGACTCTTTGACGACGACAGCAGCGACGAAGAGACGGCGCCACCGCTTGTAAAACCACACGAGGTTGTTCATATCGTCCCCAAGGCTGCTGTGCCTTCACCCGCTGCAAAGGAGGAGAAGAAATTCAGGGCTGAAGCTACGCGTAGTTTATACAAGCCTTGGGACGACGTTAAACCGCTGGCGGTGGGTCCTATCGACCTTGTGACGAGTTTCAATGGCGTGGGAGGATCACGAGGCTACGTGGCCACGAGAGACTTAAAACCAGGCACTCAGGTGCTGGTGGAACAGGTTTATGTGCCTTGGCCGAGGGACGTGGAGACTTCGGACCCCGAGTTTTTCTTGGCCACGATGGAGTCTGTGCTGTCTCGATCAGACTACTCCAATATTATGGAGCACTTGGGGCATCTGTACCCTGAGAAGCTTAGCGAGTTACCCGAGGAACTGCTCGCTGCAGGCCGAAAGAAGTACGGTCCCCAGGTGGACGAGCTGTGCAGGAATTTCACCGAGTTGGCGCTGTCACCCGACCAAGTGCTACAGAACGTATTTGCCATGCAATGCAACGCCTTCGATAGCGGCGTGTTCTTATATAACGCCATGTTTAACCACGACTGCAACCCGAACTGCGTCAAGTTTACGCCGGAAGATGCTGGTCCCGAAGGTGGGGTATCCGAGGTGCGGGTCGCGCGACCAATCGCCAAGGGCGAGCAGCTTACGATTTCGTATTTGTATCCACGTGAGCAGAGTCGTGGAAACCGACAGAAGAATCTGTCGGAGCAGTTTGGTTTCGAGTGCTGCTGTGAGCTGTGCAAACGAGGTGACAGTGTGCTATCTCCGCCTCCGAATGCAGTGGAAGACAGCGACGACACAAAGCCTGGCATGCCGGATTTGGAAAAGGTGTTGGTTGGTGCGGAAGAAGTTATCAAGACAAACCCCGAGAGTGCTGCTGACGCGCTATCTGTGGCTTTGGAGACGCTGTCGGATGCACTAGAGATCGTCGCCCACGATCACTTGGTATTTATGCGCATTCATAAACTGGTAGCAGATTCGTGCGACTTATTGCTGCGTGGGAAGACCGAACGTGTGTGCGAGTACTCGATTTTGTTCTTGCGTAGCAGTTATGAGCTGCTCGAACTTCAGCGGACGTATTTGAACCCGGACCACATTGATCTTGCGCGTACGCTGAACGACGTTAGTCAGGGCATCCAGCTGCTGCTATCTTATGACCCAAAGGTACTGCTCACGGAGTTTCCCGAGTGGAAAGACTTCCGCCAAGCCTCTGTCGTTGAGAACCAGTATCGCCAGGAGTATAGACGACTAAAGCGGATGTACGAATAGAGGTGCCATTGCGCTTCTTGCAAGTGGTAGAGTGATGGATGTACAGAACAATCATCAGACAAGTGTATTGTCCATTCATGTAGTGTCAGGCTTGTTCCGCTAGCATCACCAACGGGGCGTTTCTGTTTAATGCCGAGTCTACAGGTGAATCGCAGAGCTTTCGTTTAACACAGTATCCTTTTACAGATGAAGCTTGCTCAATTCCACATTCAAGCTTCCCAGCTTCCACAGAACAACGCGGCCGTCAAGAGCTACAGCGAAAAATCACCAGAGTAGTTGTTAGCACATCAGAGAACTCTAAGCAAAGCAAGAACTCATATTCGAACCAGAGGTGGAGAATTCCGTGACGCCACCAGAGGCTGATTTGGTGTAGGGCTGAATGCATGTGATGTTACTCTCGTGTTTCCTGAAATGATGTAGGCGAAAAGTCAGTAACAACGACGTTAGTCCTGGCACGACGACAGACCAAACGTACATCCACAGCATGTTCTTATCGAGTTGAGTGGCATCAGACGACTGGCCTCTCGTCACCTTGCTTTCAAACAGACTCCGAGCTACAACGAACACGTAAGAAAAAATCAGCATCCAGTTACAGTCGAACCAGCTTTACTGTTCGTACCAGCGTTGAAGCCACCCGCATTTTTCTTGACAGCGCTCTCAGTCGGCTTCTTGTCGACAAACTCAGAGAACGACCTATTTAAAGGAATGGATGACTCGGTTAGCCTATTGCAATTTATGACACATGCTCTTTGGTTAATTACGCACCAGAAGTTATTGGCATCCTCGGAGAAAAGCAAAGGGTTGAAGTCGTAACCAACTCCGACAATCGCAGCGTTCGACAGGAACATAATGCGCATCAGCGGCAAGTGCGAGAGCCGGATCGACTGTATCAAAAGCCACAATAAGTTTTTCCACACTTGGCCACACGAGACTGTATCTCAAAGTACCTGGATTGTTGGGTACTCGCCAGGCGCACCAAAGTGCACTATGTGAATGGACGATCCCTGGCCGGCAAAAGCCAAGCGGTTGCCCTTAGGGGACCACGCAACAGCGTTCACCCACGCGCTGGCATTGTCGAACTCCGCCAGGGGTTCACCGAACGGCGGCAAAGCTTCAAACGGACCCGCGTCAGGCGGTCCATCGATGTCGCTGATGTGCGCTGAGAACACGCGGCATTTAAGGTCCGTGCTGGCAGTCACTAGCAGTTGGCTGTTCGGGTGCCAGTCCAAGTCCGTCACCCTGCAAGTCATAGATTTCGTATCCCCCTTCGAACCCAATATAAATGCCAAGTTGAAGCTACGTACGTGGACTTGTGCTTCTTGATGATCTTGCTGACCCACCAGTTCTCCGCTGCCTGGTAGTAGCACACCGACACGCACTTGGCACCGCTACTCACAGCAAACTTCTTGCCTGCGGACACCATCCATTAACCATTAGCACCGTGAATATGCTTCGCCTTTCCAGCTTCCCTCTTACCGTCAGGACTCCACTTGACATTTGTGGCAGCGCGTGTGATGCGCAGAACCACAAGCAGCGGCTTCCACTGGCGGTAAGCAGCCTCATACTTCCACACAAAAGCGCTGCGGTCGTGTGAGCAAGACACGAGCTGATCATGCACAGGCGACCAGTCCAGACCGCACACAAGCATGTCGTGTTCCGTGAGCACGGCCTCCTTGCGCCATTGCGACGGGTTGGGTGCGTGGCAGCCCGAGTAGATCCAGATTTCATTCGAATTGGGGCAGATGGCCAGCTTGGAGCGGTCCTTGTTCCATGCGTGACACGAGATGCCATCCGCTAGCTGGAAGAGATTCGCGTCGCCCCCTACCATGGTGCGAATTGCCTTGCTGTTTGTATCGACTGACTCCCTTTTGAGATTGATCTGCTTCGATGAAGGGATTATGCTTCTGATCTTTTAAAGGGAGAAATGTCTCCAAAATCCCTTTACAACAACAGCTTTAACTTTTATGACACCATCAAAATGATGTACCAAACCTTAACTGCACGAATCGCTACACTCGACTCGAGCACTGCGACGTGAGGCTCACATGGAGTCGCCTGACAGTGCCATGGCCTATATTGGGGGTCCATATCCGGAGGAGATCCTGCTTGAGGCGTACAACCTGGAAGTGCGTGCGTTTACCGGGTAGAAACCGACATTTTCCGGGTTCTGACCGACGTTTTGATGCTTGTGCTTGTAACAGTGGGAGTCCATCGAGCTGCGGCGCCAGCGGCTGCAGAAAACATGGCAGCAGCTACTGCTAGCAGAAGCGATGGAGGAGGAGGAGTTACGGTACAGGCGCCAGCTGCGCAGAATAAAGCGTCAGGAGCTTGAGAAGCAGGCGCACGAGCAGGAGGCTCAACGCTGCGAGCGCGAAAAGGAAGCAGCTCTGTCCAGGGAGAAAGAGAGAGAGGAAATAGAAAGGAAGAGGAAGCAGGTGATTGAGAGTGGTACGCAGACGGCCGAGGAGGAGCCTGCGCCGAGTCGAAAGAAGGAGACCAAGACGGTTAAATCGAAAGAGATGAAGGCCAAGACGGGTAAATTGAAGGAGGTGAAGACCAAGACAGCTAAACCAAAAGAGATGAAGTCAAAGGTGCAGCCGACGCAAAATCAGAAGACGAAGTCAGTCGTACCGAAGAGGATTACGCCTGTTAGTTTACCGTCGACTCAGCCTAAAGGTGACGACTCCGTTTCCGAGGAGAACCAGAATGAGCTTGGAGGATATGACAGCCCTCCGCCAGAGCTACCGGACGACGGACTTCTTGGCATATTGTCGAATCATAAAGATAGCGACTCTGATGAGGCTGACGACCAGCCGTCTATGGTGAGTTTAATTCTACCAGTCGCTCAAGAATCTCCCAAGCGAGTGCAGAAGTCGCCGGTGAAGAAGAAGACACCGACGCCACAAAAACGTTTCGCGAAGAGGAAGGGAGGCCCACCGCTAGATTTTAACTTCTCTAACGCGGAAGCGAGGCGACAGGCTAAAATTGCCGAGGCTGCAGGTGAAGCCGAGCAAGAGGAGAGCGACGAAGCAGATGCTGAGCCCGAGCCAATGCCGACGCCGATACCAAAGAAGCGTCTTAGACGTCGAAAGGACTTGAAAGCTGCCCCATCGGCAGTAAATACCGCGATGGCAGTCGAATCTGGGAAAGAGGCAGCAAAGCCTTTGGCGCACAAAGCTAAAACAACAACATCAGCCGGCAATAATACACGGAAGAAGACTGTTGGGAACAATGCTAGCAAGGATTCTCAAACTGAGACGAAACCCCAGATGAAGACTGTCAACGCATCTGGAGAAGAGGCCTCGCTAACGAAGAAGAAGGTAAATGGAAAAAGTGAGACCATGTCAATTAAGCAACGATTAGCGAATGCTGAGCTGCTTGCCCGAATGAACAAGATGCAAGATGTGAGCACTCCAAAAGTGCTGGGAAAGAAGACCAAAAAGGGCCAGAAAGAAGAAGCAGCGAAGACGTTGGCGGTGAAACGAGCTGAATTCCGGAAGGTGCTAGCGAGTGATACAGCAGAGCTAGACGTCCCACGACGCGACCAAATGATCGATGAAGACTTGAACATCAGCTTGAACAGCAGTGGACTCATCAGCGACAATGATTCACCCGAGAATTTACGTGCCATCACGCGAAAACGACCAAGGGGGGCGGTAGAAGGAGACGTGACGCCCACCAAGAAGCTGCAGTTTCTAGAGATCACAAAGCGTTTGGCTAAGTCACCGATGCCGCGCTATCTGCGGACTCCAACCCCTTTAATGTCCCCAGTGGTCGCATCGGGTCTCACCAAGCCAAGAGCTGCGTCACCTGGACCCCGAAGCTCAACTCTCCGCAACACTACTGCCGCTAGCACGCGCCGACTGAATTCAGCTCCGATTCGATCAAAGAACCCCACCAACGCAAACCGGTTTGGAGGGGGTGTAAATGCAGCAGTAACTAGCGGTAGTTTCTCCATGTTCGACGCTTTCGTGAACAGTGGCAGTAATGGATCAATTCCAAGACTGAAAACGAAGACTCGAAGCGGATCACCGTCCGTATAGGATAGATGGCGAAGATGTTCACAGTGTAAGATACTACTGGTAACCAAGGCGTGATTTAGCCAAATAAACAAGCGGGCTGACAATATTGAACGGCAGCTGAAACAGATTGCATCTATTGGGTACGTAGCTGATGAGACGGTAGCCACAGCAATGTCCTGGACCACGCTTGGGCACCTTTAATTCTCTAGCGTCTCAGCGTGGAGCTGGTTGATCACGTCAACCGAGTCAACATAGTGGTCAGGCACGTAAAGAGCGTTTTCGATGCTGCCCAGCTCCGACTCGTGCGTAATTCCAGTCAACACCAGCAAAGTGTTGAGGCCACCGGCGTTGCCGAACTCGATGTCCGTCGAAAGTCGGTCACCAACCTATTAGGCAGGAACGACACCAATTACATTAGCATACTTCACTTTTGGCATTGCAATCGGAGACTTCATACCATGCACGTGCGCGAGGGATCGAGATTGTAAGTGGCGATAATGGTCCGCAGCAGATCTTGCGAAGGCTTACCGCACACGGCTTCCGGAGGGCTTTATCGCATCAAAGACAACACAAATGATAAGCGTACAAGCCATTGAGAAACAATACAAATAAGCTGATTCGTACTGGCCAATAGCGCACTCCAGCATGTTGACTAGCGAGCCTCCGCCAGGGATGATGGCACCATCCGTCGGGTAAGTCGAGTCACTGCACCAAAAAGTGAAGCTCATTTGTTAGAAAGCCGCTAAGCAAATTATTGTACACGCACAATCTCACGGGTTAGTGCCGATAAAGTGGCAGCCAGGGATCTGACGGACACATGCCGTAGCGTACGCCATCTTGTAGTACGAGAAGTATCTGCAATAGTAATATCATAGCGTTAGTATTACTTTAATTTTAACGATGCAGCGTCCAAATCACTTTCAAACCTGTCCAGGCCACAGACAACTGCCTTCGTCTCCATGTCGATATCCGGCACATGTGGGAGGCCCTTGATGTCGCTGTGCTCCGTGCCGCTGACCTGGTAGCCCTCCAACTCCAGCTCCGTCTTGAGACCGGCCTCACCCACGATGTACACCTTGCCCTCAATCTTGTGCTGCTTCATGTACTGCACCGTAGCCCACGCCGAGCTACAATTCACAACCGTTCACTAGCTCGTTAGCTGGGGCGTGCATAACCATATAAAAACAAAAAATCAATGCAGGACTCACGTGACGATATCTCCCTCGACAGCGGTGATGCCCTGCGACGCTGTAGCGCACCAAAACTACCCATTAGTCCCTAAATCATCCCAAGCTCAGCGAGTTTCATCGTCTTAGCACCCACCGAGTTTCTTTACGTAGGTGGCACGGCTGTTGGTGGCGTTGTTGGTCTACATCGAGCGGATCATTCCCATCACAGTTTCAGTTTCCACTTGTGCACAAGTAGGACCAGATTCACCTCACCACAAACACGACGCGCTTGTTGAGCGAGCGTAGAAGGCTGATCATGTTGGCAGCGCCCTCGATCGGGGCAGCCCCACGCCACAGCACTGTCATGTCATATTAAAGCAATTAGCCCAATGTCAGTGACGACGAGACTAAAAAAAATCAAAACACAGGCGTATTGTACCTCCATCGCAGTCGAAGAGGAAGGCATCGAGGCCCTGGATCCATTGCTTGAATGAATCGCGGCTAAGCCGCTGGGTCACTTTCTTCGTGGTGGCCATGGTGAATATTGACGCAGGTTCTGTAGCTCTCAAAGGGATTGCAGCCGGCATGGATGTCAGGTAACGGGGTATGTCTTACAATTTGTAAGACATACTGAATTCAATACTTTCGCTACTTGGATAGCACATGTCACGTGCCTCAAATAGGTATTGATTGTCGAGTGCTGTCTACAAAACCTCGAGCTCATGTTATCGAGCAGTTCTACGTGAATCTAATGCAGCTCTAGGGAGTTCTCACTGAGGAACGGCCCAGCTTCCGAACTGGCTCAGTCGAGCATCGATGCGGGAAACGATCTCAGAGTCAAAACCTTCGATACCGCTCTTGTCCAGAATGGCGAGCTCCTTTGTGGTCAAATAAACCACGTTGTCTGGGTGCAGCGGTCGGTCCGTCCGCCAGCGAGCCAAGTACAAGCGGTCGTGGCCACCATTGCGCGTCCCACTCACGGAGCTGCGTCCCCGCCAAATTTCCTGGTATACAAACTCAATCTCATCCTTCTCGAGCTCGATCTTGTGACCTTCGTGGAACAGCACGTGCTCACGCTGCTGCAACTTCTGGTACAGCTTGTTGCGCTGGTCACGGGACAGCCGTGCCACCGCCTCCGGACTGATCTTTTTGCCAGCCAAGTCGCACAGAACATACGCCGCCATGGACTGCCCGAATAGCGCAGGCATTGTGCCAAGCACAGGGATGACACGGATTCTGAAGTTTTCGACGTTGCCAAACTCCTTGGGATTCTGCGCCTGCTCGGCGTCTAAAGGCAGCAGCTTGCATACGCTCTTCTCACTCGAGAAGATAGTCGTGATCTCTGACGACGAAATGCCCTTCTTTTTCAAAAAGTAACGAATCTTCGTAGCAAGCGGGTCACCTACCGGACATGACAAAAAAATTTAAGCACTTTCATTGCAACAGCCCAACCACGCAGCAGGCATAACGTACGGACAGCATCCTTGAGCGACCCAATCTGCAGACGCGTTGGGTCGGCCTTGGCACCAGCTCCAGTCGCTGTTATAACCTTGAGTCTCTTTCTAGTCACAGCTTCCAACAATGCGCACTTGGTCTTGACGTCGTCAATGCAGTCCAGCACGTACGTTGGATTGCCTTCCAGCAGGTCGTCAGCGCTTTCCGCCTCAAACATGACGGCCATGTCTTCTATCTCGCAGTCCGGTACAATCTCACGCAGGTGGCGCTTCATGGCCGTGACCTTGGACAGCCCCACGTCACCGCGCGTGGCCACTGCGTGGCGGTTCAGTGAAGACAGCGTGACATTATCAAAGTCAACGAGCCGCAGCTTACCGACACCCGAGCGCGCCAGCATGTGTGCAGCGTGAGAACCCACACCACCGAGCCCCACGACCACCACAAACGCGTTCTTAACCCTAGCGAATCCCTCCGGCCCAAAAAAGGAGGAGATTCGAGACAACTGCTCCTCCAGCAGTTCCTGTGCAGCAGCATCCGTTCCCCGTGCAGTCGAAACGACCGATTTCGACGCACATGGCTTCCGCTTTAGTGCAACTTGGTACACATACTGCGCCGCAATTGCAGCCGCCACGCCAACACCGAACGCGGCCACGAGTTGGCCACTGCTGCTCACCGTCTTGACCATCGGATTGATAATTAATTACCGTACCAGTACGTGACATGTACTTTAAGTAACAAATAAATACCGGTACGTCGTATTTTTTTGCTGAATGCAAGTCCAGTATTCTAGGTAGAAAGTAAGCAGTCCTATAAGAACACAAAACATTCGATGAAAGTTTTGAAATCGATATATCGGTAAACAAATTCCATGGTGAAAGATTTCGGTAAGCAAATATCAAAATGCTACTGTTAGCGCTAGTTTTAGCAGAGTCATAGTACTCTGTATAGATATTGACCGATCGTGCAGCTTGGTTTGCAACAGGGACCTGGTAGGCTGATATCCAAATGAAGTCACTTGATGGCTTTATATGTGGCAAGACGGGTATTCTACAAAGTTGAGTGTGGCAACGTGATTTCTTTTGGCAAAACCTTCGACACGTGGGACCAGTTTGAAGCACACTTCTAAACATACCAGCGGCGGACCCACCAGGCACGAATACCTGAGCTGTGACTGTTAATTACTTGAAATATGCCTTTTAACGATGTACCGCCGGATATATTCATCAATTGTGCTTCACAGGCTTGCTATAAACATTCATCTTACTATTTAATCCGTAACGGCACTACTTCTAGGATAAAACCGGCGTTAGGGATCATCGTTAGAGATGCTCTTGATTCAGTCGCGCACGGCTCTTATTCAAGAACCGAACACAGCCTAAATAGTGCGCTCCGTCTATAACTGAATATTTTTACATTATGGATTTTGCCCTAATTTGTTTTTGGATCGCTTTGAGCGGGGTAAGATGGGTTAGTGGTTCTGAGGTTCACAAACTCTTGTGAGCTTGTTCATCGTACCTGTCTGTGTTTGCCATCACGCTAGAGCAACCCGCCACTTGTAAAGCGACCAGCTTGATCTTTTAAAGCTCTGAAACTCCAGATACGAAGCTGGGCTTAGTGCGTTACCAGTACTGTGACGGGGTCACACAGCACCTTGCGCTAGAGGAAGTTATCTTCCGAGAGTATACAAACTCTCAGTGAACGGCAGTTCACAGGTCTTTAATTAAAGAGGGCGAAGTGACCTAAATAAGGTAGATTGTAAACTGAGTATATTTATAGGTAGGTTAAGTTTGGGTTAAATACAAACTATTAGTTACCTATAGAAATGCAATGTCATTTAACCAATGGTTGGCTTTGAACGACCTTGGTACCTTGTACCAAATATCCCGGAGTATGACGTGTCATACTCCTGAAGTGTGGAGTGTCACACTTCATGTAACCAGGGTACTCTTAGGGCTACGTACCCCGTTACAAGTACAATACTTCAAAATACTTTTGTATATGCAAGTGAGACTATCTTTACTAAGTAAATCCTAAACTTTCAGCGCTTCGCTGTAGTGAAAGGAAAAAAAGTGAGTGAAAACGAAGTTAACTGGCATGGAACGTTTGCCAGTAAGCATAATATCACGCGGCTTCATATTTAAATCCAGCGTATTGATGATCATTAAGGAGCTTACATTCTTGGCACCGTGGAAAACGCCGAAGCTCACAATTCTTCAGTCGGTGCTGCGAACAGCGTTAGAAACGCGCTATTGCGTTTGACGTTTTGTCATCTTGAACCAATCGACAACGTAGCGTCATTGCCCGTTTTAACTTCACCTAGATCTATATCTTGGCGAAACGGTTTTTATCGAGCTCCAAGCGAAGTGACTTGAATTCAAAAATAAAAATAAAAACTTTTCTGGATCGCGAAAACCTGAGCGCCATCGCTCACGGAAGCAAACCTAGAAAACTATGATCGGGCAGGCATGCCGGTTGTTCCTAAAGCCAACGAGAAAAATTAAATCATCAACAACGACCAAGTCAACGCATCCGCATTAGTTTAGCTATCATGACCAAGCCTGTGGGAACAAAGGCCATTCTTACCTAGTTGCGCTCGCCAAATCGAAGACACACGTGTTCTATAAGATTCTGTTTTAACTCATGATGAAGTGCTTCGTCTTCGATGGCTCAGAGTGCGTTTGCAATCATTGTTACGGAACACTCGGGTGCAGCAAACTGTTTATGCGGGGCTCACCCAGTTGTCGTCCAAAAGATTGTCATGATTCAACGAGCTGAAGGGTAGCTCGTCCTCAATGATCATAATGTTGAGGATAATGCTAGTCAGGTTCACATCGTTCGTTGCGTTCACTTTCCATATCTTGCACGGCAAGGCTAGAGCTCGAAACCGCTGCTGGAGGACTCCAAATGCGCGCTCAACGTCTTTCCGCACTGCTTCTTTCTTGGCTGCGAATCTCTTCCGCATGTTGCCTTGCGGTGCGCTAATACTAGACTGAAAATTCGCCCAGATCGGGTAATTTCTATCGCCTGATCGTACGTTGCTCTATTCACCGTAAACTTCATCTGAAGCAAAACACCATTCACCAAGTCGTTGAGCAAGGGAGACCTCTCCAGTACATTCAGATCATTGTTTGCTCCAGTCATTCCGTAAAATGCATGCCAAATCCACAACAACCGAGAGGCAACAGCTTCAAAAATCACAGTGTACGTCTTCCCTTTCCCTTGAAACGCTCCTTGCCAAGCGGTGGGCCAATTTTCCAGCTCTAATGCATGCAATCGAGTCTCCCAATCATTCCTGGAAACTCACG